TTGGAATTTGGATGTTAAAAAGACAATGTCATAGTGTTGTAAAATACCCCAGTCAGTGAGTGCGTCGAATCCAGAGTCAACACCGTAACTGTAGATCGACGATACGGCAGCGTCGCATGCCTGTCTATGTCTACATATTTTGGTGCTTTAACTGCTCACGAATCATAGAAGGAGACTGAAGAGCTATCGACATAAAATCATGAAAAAGGATCTGTTATGGTATTCGAAATACGTCGCCGTATATGACAAATTACGGTAAATCAAACATTTAAGGAGAGGAAAAAGGAAGAAGCTCACTGGACGATTAGTTTTTTGGGAAGGAACAAGGAAATAAGCAATGAGGGTTCTTACACTTTTTTCAAACAGATTTTGCTCACAAAATCATCTGTAACTATCAAAACAAACGGCGCTTTAACAAACGTAATGTCAAAAGTGACAAACAGAAAATTGGTCGCTAATAGTTATTTACCTAACAAGTGCTGAAAGTGATACTTTTTTATAAGCGGAGTTCGGGCAAGCCGTCAAGTCAAGGGCGCAAGTGTTAGGTATAAGATTTATTTTAACAGCGCAGCGCGAGAAAATAATAAAGCTGGAATTTTAAATACGTATTATGTTTTATTAGAAATTTAATAATTGTAAAATCAGCATCATCAACAACATCAATAATTCATTTATAATAATTATTAACAATATGAAAAGTAAAAGAACAGTTATTTGGATTATGAAAACTTGTAGGCGTTTTCGAAGCAGGACTAGTGCCGCCGGCGACGCTTTCTTCTAAAATTTCTTGTTCTTTAGAAAAGTTATGCTTACGGAAAATTGCTACTTTCTGCACGCAGATGCGTGTTGAAAGTGAGTACTTTACGCACACTGGTAGAAAAAACTTTTTCAACCTAGTATAGCCAAAGTGACACGAATTCTGAGTGGCAAGTACATTGTTGAAAATTTGAGACTGTTTCATCAGCAAAATCGTTAAACGTGGCATGTACAGGATGCTTCATAACCTAATGATGTTATTTTAAGAGCAGAAAGTACATTCAAAAACAACAAATTTATTTCCATCTTTACAAAAGTAAGCAGATACTAATTTGTTCATTTTCTAGTGACCTAGGTGTAGGTCAAATAATCTCAAATACGATAAAGAGAAATTTCTAGTTTGTTCTCACTTTGTATTTTGTATTCCAAAGTGAACCATAGAATTTCGAACACAGAGCAAAACTCAGCGCAAAAATCAAAGGTGGTTAACTAAAATTAAACTTTTGTACTCTTTACAAATATACAGGGTGGCGCATCGAAAATGAAACAGACGCATTTACTGGCAGCTCAGTTTCTTTTTGGAAAAACGCTCAGACCCGTCGATTTTGTTTTCGAGGGGGACACAAGTTTGGCAAAAAATCAGGTTAACACGTGCAGCCCCCTGGGCGGGGGTGACACCAATCCTAAAATCTTAAATGGAAAGGGGCTCGAGTGATACCTTATTTTAAAGGTCTTTCAATTCCCTTTATAGTGATGTAAAATAAATGAGCTTCAGTTCAGTAGTTTTGAAGATTTATTGATTTAAAGCTTAAAGTAGACTGTAATAGGTACATCAGATTAGTTTGTACTACTTTCAGAAGAAATTTGACTAAAAGAATTTACTTAATAAGTAAATGCTTTTCTTCACTACGCCCATGGTTTGTTTATCATTTTGATGTTGAAAATAGCTATTGGAGCGTTTTTTTTTTGTGACAAAAAAGTTATTTCTTGAAGAAAGATAAGGAAATATCTCGTACTTATTTTAAATAGGAATTTAGTACATAGTTTGCGATTGATTTGACCAAACTTTGTTGCTAAAATAACTTGTAACGATTTATTACATAAATTAACCATGGTATATTCCACAGCAGAAAGAGTTGAAATTATCGAAATATTTTTCGTAAATAATCAGTGCGCTAATAGAACAGCAGAAATATTTAATAAGCGACATGAGAACAGTAAAGTGCATCGAAAATATGTTCTAGAACCTGTAGCTAAATTTCGGGAAACTGGGTCAGTCGCCAATAAAAAACGCAACATTGAAAATCCCATAAGGAACGAAACAATAGAAGTGGGGGTCTTAGGGCAAGTTTATGTAGATCCTACGTTAAGTACCCGCAGATTGGAGACTCAGTGTCCAACGGATTCTAAAGGCCCATAGTTTTCATCCGTATAAAATTCACCTGGTACAAGAACTTAATGAAGACGATTTTGATCGGCGATTACAATTTTGTGAAGATATGAGTGAACGAATTCTAAACGATGAACATTTTCTATTCAACACTTGCTTTTCCGGCGAATGTGCCTTTTTCTTAAATGGCGTAGTAAATCGTCATAACTGCCGATATTGGTCCGATTCTAATCCCAGAATTTATCTGAGGTTCATACACAGCAGTCGCAAAAATTAAATGTTTGGGCTGGTATTTTTGGCGATCATTTAGTTGTTCCTTTTTTCTTACCTGGAAATTTGACCGGTGAAATGTATTTGGAATTACTGGAAGACGCCCATAGATCTTGCATTAATAGCCATAATTGAAAATCAGAATGATAGGCGGTACATTGCGAATAGATTGATGTTCCAACAGGATGGTGCCCCTCCACATTACAAATTACGTGTTCGACAATATTTAGATCAGACGTTTCCAGATTGATGGATTGGTAGAAGAGGTGCCATTGAATGGTCCCCAAGATCGCCAGATTTATCACCTTTGGATTTCTTTATGTGGGGTCATTTAAAAAGCAAAATCTATGCTACTCAGCCAACATCATTAGAAGACCTGCGTCAAAGAATTGTGAATGGGTGCCTTCAAATTACTCCTCAAATATTGCAAAATGTGCGGCAACGTTTTGAGCAAAATCTTTATTATTGCATGGAGAGTCATGGTGGTCAACATTTACTTGCCTAAGGGGTCAGTTCATTCTTCATTTTTAAATTACTTTGCTGCCAAATGTAGTGATCTCCACTAATGATGATGTATTAGTTTTATTCAAGCTTTAAATCAATAAATCTTCAAAACTACTGAACTGAAGTACATTGATTTTATATTATAAGAGGAATTGAAAGACCTTTAAAATAAGGTATCACTCGAGCCCCCTTTCCATTTAAGATTTTGGGGGTGGTGTCACCCCCGCTTAGGGGGCTGCGCGTGCTAACATGATTTTTTGCCAAACTTGTGTCCCCCTCGAAAACAAAATCGACGGGTCTGAGCCTTTTTCAAAAAAAAAACTGAGCTGCCAGTAAATGCGTCTGTTTCGTTTTCGATGCGCCACCCTGTATGTACAGCAATTCAGCAGAAGAACATATTCAAATATGAACTGAGTTACTTTCAGGAAGATAATTTCCATTGAATTCTGAGCTATTTTTATTGCTGTTGTCATATTCCTTTCAACAGGGCAGGCCGAGTATGTATACTAGGTTTCAAAAACTCTACAGGATGTACTGAAGATATGTTAATCGTAGGTTTTTGGAAATAATCTCGGAGATCTCACGGTTAATGTATTTTCTCATGTCCACTGAACCATCTCCCCAGCTCATAACACCTCCGAGTATCGGTTTGAACATGTCAAAACGTACAATTAATTCGCATTTCTTATTTCAACATATTTTTTATGTTTTAAAACAGTTACCCAATTCTGTATTATTCATGACTGCTGGTATGGTCACCAAATTCTCACTGACCTTTGGTCTTGCTCTATCGATGTGTGAAAAATGGATCGGTTATGGTATTTATTTTGCTAGTTTATCTACTACATCAAAATACAACATTCGTATCATCTTTTGGCTTTTTTCTATGGTAAAATATAATCGTAAAACAAAACCATGAAATTGGGGTTTGCTCCATAGTCAGTATGTCAATTTGGTTCTAACGCGGTTCTAAAGAAAAACTACCTATATCCATAGTAATGAACCGGAAGTATGGAGAGGGTCCAACTCCGATCTCACATGTCATACCTCCAACTTGGTCGATTTGGTAATCTATGCGGTCTATTCCTCGTTCCACATTACTTTCTATCCAACAGTTGCACGGTTGCCAGCTGAATGATCCATGCTGCAAGCGATCTTCCCCCGTTGCCTACGGAATGGACTGGTCCGCACCGCATACCGAGTACGCTATCTCGCTCTCACTGGCTCTCTCTTGTTTATTATTTGAAATGGGCTGGAGTGACTCATCAGCTGTGTAATTGACTCAAACCTCAAACATCTGGTGGTGCGCGGCGCAGTAGGTAACTCTAATTTTGAGGTTGGTAACGAGGTCTAATATGAAGCGGACCAAGAATGTTTTATAAGAATGTAATAGGCATTCGTGTTTTTAGTAAATTACTGTCTGGGATGAAATGTTAAAGATGCCTATTTTGCTAAAGTAGATGCAGAAAAACGATTGTGTACCAGGGGCATTGGATATTTACCAAGCAGTTCGCTATCTCGGTCTCACTGGCTCTCTGTCATTTATTGATTGAAGTGGCTTGGAGTGACTCATTTCCGAGTTATAATTGACTTGAACCTTAAACATCTGGTGGTGTACAGGATGTGGTCTTGGCTCGATGACATTGAGGTATCCTCGATATGGAGTGGACCGATGACGTTTGATAAAAACGGAACACGTTCCCTGGTAAATTGAGATAGCTGATGGAATGTTAAAGATTGTTACCTCATTGGGGTTGATGTATAAAACTATTTTGTACCAGGAGCATATTTACCCACTAGTTTTTGGAAGGAAGCATCCATTGAGGGGCAGTTGGGACTATTGCCCCACACCCTACAGTCGGACATCCTGCTAGTTCCTATATTTATATCGTACAAAAACACATGAACTAGTCGTATTTTTACTCTTCAGAAGATATCAACACCCATAGCCGTTTTTGGCTTTTTAGTGTCTTTTCAACTATCCATTCATCAAATTTCTAATAAATATAATACGCCACGATATTATGCTTTTCTTGAAAGAACAGACATGTCGTGGACTGCTTTTTGAATGTCTATACTAATAATCTGTAGTGGAGAAGAACGATAAGAATACATTATTTAATTATAAGATGCTAAATTCGATTATATGCTTTAAAAAATAGTACATGAAGATTTTGTGCCAAAAAAACACTTTGACCCAAAATATATTGCGAGAGTCTTGTGACTTTGACATATAGCATTATATGCATGTAAAAACGCCACAGAATGGAGACTTGGAAAGCAATACGAAACGATTACAATAACGAAAAATGGAATAAACGTAGAAAAGACAACATATCAACACATTGATAGAGATTGTAATTTAAAAAAGCAATGAGACAGTTAATGCTAGCCAAGGTCACCGCTGTAGTCTACAGTGAGTAAACAAAATATCATTGACATTAACTCTACATAAATATAAATTCAAAAACGATACCACGATTTTGATATTATCGTCATTGTATGTGTTATAGACATTTGACAGTTTTATCATATTTTTCAGGAGAGATAACGTACATTGAAGAACTGGCGGTTCACCAAATGTTCTCCCGTCACGTTTTCTTTGTTCTATAAACAGGTCGTCGATCTATGGGCTCCCAAGCGGTTTTCAACCTTATCGGTAGTTTACACAAGCCTTACGTTCGTTTTTCTTTTTGCTTAGCTATTATAAAGTACATGTTTGGCTCTATATAGTTTGTATTCAATGTTTACTGGTTTGGAGAAATTAAGCATAGAACTAGCAGTGGTTGTATAAGCATTGTAGTTAATATTTGTAACGGCTTTTTAAATTAACATGGAATGTTTGATAAACCATATAATTATGAATTACTTAATATTTATTTCACTATGTTGTATACAAGTCTTTAATATTGTACTCTTTATTTAAAATGAAAAAAGTTGCAGAATACATAAAAACATCTTTTTAGTCTGCCTGACGTTTATTTAAGGTTTTTCCGCTTTCTGGTGTTTTGTTCAGTAAAATCTTAGCTTCGCTGTAACTTAGAGAGTACCTACATTCCAATTTTGATGCAAGGCCACTATTGTAATCGCGAGTAATCTCGAAGATGATATATGTATATGTTTTGGGATGTTATATGTCATGTACATTACGGAAAACGGTCTGCCTGTCCGTCTGTCCGCTAATTCTTGACCATCTATTGTACTGCTCCGGTTTGGATAAAATGTTTGCAAAAGTGTACTACTCTGCCAAAGACGAAAAAGCTTTGTGGTTTTTGAAAATCGATCCAGTGGCGGCGGAGGAAAAGGGTAAAAACGGAATCGCTCAAACCTCGTTTTTGATCTTTTACAGGATCCTGCTCATTTTTGAAATCTTATCTGTATTAATAATTAATCAGAATCTTCGGCTTCGTGAACATATCCGTTTAAGAGCCCTGTACGCGAACAAAAATTTGGTGAATTTTAAAGTGCGTAAACAGTTGTGTGATTTTCTTGTTTTATCAATTTTCAAGTATTGCGATCTAATGTATTATCCCTGTTTAGATGTTGCGAGTCGTTACAAAATATCTGTTGTATAAAATAACTGCATGCGATTCATATTTAGTTTAATAAAATGTGACCATGTTTCGGATCGTTACCCTATAATAGGTTGGTTGAATATTTAGTAAAATATAATTTCTTATTCTTTATAGGTAAGTTACTTATCTCTGGAACACCAGTTTATTTAGGTACGTGAAAAGATAATTTTTAGATACAATGTTCATCAACGATCTGTCCGTAACACATTTTCATTTACAATGCCCCTTCATAGATTTGCTTTTTTTAATACTGAAGGTGAAGCCTAAATTCCAGGACAAAGGAGCGGTCATATAATTCTGGATTTACGAAGTTGGACACGGTTAGGTTAGGAGGCCGAAGTCAGACGTGTCTGCCCGGCAGGCACATCGCACGGCGGCATCATGGAGGGGAGAGCCCCGAATAGCAATATTGTTGAGGTGTTCGTGCCATTAAATGGTTAAGTGTTAGAATAGCTGTTATAGATAAACTTCGCTCCTCTCTAATTTCATTATAGGTAATACATGTATTATCCATGAATTGTTTTTAATAAAAGACGGTTATTATTATTATTATTCAGGGTAGAAAATGGGGGGTAGTAGGGTATTCCGCAATTTTTCGGCAGCATATTTATAAACTTCTAGTCCCAGTTCGCGCCTGTTAGACATGTTTCACACATATAACGTATGTGCTAAAAGTTTTTGTAAAAAAATTATCGGATTTCTTTAATGAAGAAATTTATTTAAACACTAACTAGTTATCATAAATTACAACTCAATACTTACCTTAAGAATACTATCGAATTATGTGGAGTGGCCCATTCCGCTCTACTAGACGCAACTTTCGTAGAATGTCTCTCATGAGGTCCTGGACGGAATTCAGATCAATTCCTCTCAGTTTTTCGTAAATTCGCCGTGTTCATTGTTCTTCATCTTGGGCTTCCCAGCCTCCATGATAAACCTTCCTAGACAGTAAAGCCCAATGCAGTTTTGGGTATCTCTTGAGTAATGGAATGACGCTAGGTCTGGCCAAAACATGATATTCGTGAACAAACTGAGGCAGTTTGGGAAGCATTTATCGATATAACTCTGACTATCCAAGGCTTCACCCCTCACTCTTCTCACAAAAGGCTGGGATACACCCTTCTTAGAAACTGCGCATCAGACAATGATTTTCTGCAAATTTCGCTTTATTTTAGTATCTAACATTGTCAGGGCATTTCTCTACGTTGTCCGTATATAAAATATACCAAAGCGACAAAAATGGTTCGGATACTATAACATGATACGTATACAAAGCCCGTTTGTGCAGGATTGCGTGATAAGTATAGTTAACCTACCTGACGCAATTTTCTTCGAAATGGCAATATATAATTTTCGTTAACTTCATTTGACGTATTTTGAATATAGATAGGTCTAAATTTTTAGTTATAGAAACTCGTGCAAGATTTTGGAGTGTGTAGCCACAGCCATACCTGCGTATCCTGGAATATAGTCATATCACAGCCGTGAATTCATATTTAGCGTTTGCGAGATAAACATACTAGAAATGTTGGTTTAAAAACGGTGATAACGTTAAAACAATATAATATGGGACAAAACATTGTTACATTATTATTGCTTATACTCCTCGGGAAGACGCAGGACAAAGACCTAGATATTCCCCAAAATGAGAGACAGAGACAGTTGGCATTTGCCGTTTTGGTCGTTCTAAAATGACAAAAATAACTGTGTGTGGATTATATATGGTTTAAGAAACTCAATTGACCCCGGTTTTCCAGTTGTTATCCACAGATATTTAGTAATTTTGTTGTATTGTCTTTTTAATATCATATTGAATATTTGGATTATTCCACTATGAGAATTTGAATAACACACCATTTTTTGAGCTTTATTAAATGTGTTGATGTCTACCCGACAAGAAGATTCAGGTCGAAAGTAGAATACTTTGTATCTTTTATTTTTCGAAGGTCGATGTCCGCTATCTTTTAGTTCGTGATAGCGGAATATTACCACTTTGCTAGTATTCACTTATCAATTTTTTAGTATTGCCGTCATTTCCACTTTTTAGCAAATCAAAACGTCATTTTAAACTGACGTACAATATGTCAAATCCGTTTTGTTTCCATAACAACAATGATTAATTCGTTGCGCAGCCTGACTGGTTGAAATTAAAAAAAGACTAGCAGCCATAGAAACAGGTCATGCAGCCGAGCGCTACACCCAATCAGATCTAGTGCGCTAAAACGAACCTTCCGTACATTTCCTATAAGGCTTACATTCGCCTGTTCGCTCAGCAGTACGAGGTCAGGGGTATTTATACAGGTGAATTTCCTTCAAGAGATCTGGAATATGGAAGCCTGTTTGGTATTCATCTGAACTTTTTCAAAATGCGGATATTCCCTAGCGGATCATCCACCGATAGAATAAGAGCTTTCACATTTCATTCTGTTGTCCGCCATCTTGTTAACGTTTCGCTTACGTAACGTTGCATGCGCTGCGTCTGATCAATTGACTGTATCGCCTTTCTGCTATAGCATGTTTTAAGTGTATTTACACATCATGGCAACTGGATCAGTGACCTTGACAAAACGTTTTATCACAAGTGTACTGCTTATTTGTTTCCGATTTGCTCTTAATTTCTTCCTTTTTCAAACTTATACACCTACTCTCATTTATTACTCTTATTGGAATGTATCACCTTTAGCCATCTTTTTTTGTTAATATTATTTTCGGTATAAATAGTATAAATTGCTTGTGTTATAAATTATAATTGTCATATTTATCGATTCGGCGTTCTTTATTGCATGAAAGGAGGACAATTATTTAATCAAGGATATACTGACTGTCTAATTCTATAACCTCTTTCAACATTTTGGATCTGTGATAATGCCGCTTGCTTTAAACTGTACTTACATTCAGAAAGTCGGAAAGGTAATTGTCCGTCTTAGTTTATATCACAGAGATGCACTCTATCCCCCAAAATAAGTCAGTTCTGATATGTAGGGTTATATATTATTTAAACAAAAATATTACCATGGTCAAAGCGCCTAAAGTAAAGTAACAAAGAACGGGTAAAATGGCCTGTTGTGTTTTTTTATTAATTTATTAGGAGCAATTAAAAATGTTCAATACATAATTGTATGCATGAGCATACTTATTTTTGTATATTTCGGGCTGTTTTCATTCTATTATGTTGATGATTTCGCTATAATAAGATCATGATTCCATTCAACTCAGCTTCTACATGTTCTATCGCCGAACTAGCAGTTTATTGACTTTGTTTCACTTCCCATCTCCCCCGTACATAAGCCCCAAAGCGCGCGAAAAAAAAACTTCGCGCTGTAGTTGCTCCAAATGGAAGATTTAGAGCCAAATCGCTTTCGAGATAAACCCTCAACAGCAAGGGGGCTATCAGGGAACGCAAAGTTGGGGGAGCAGGTTTTTTGATGCGCATGTGCAGTCTAGCCAGGCTGCCTTGCTGGCGTGTTCCGTAGTCGCCGCGCCATGCCTGTCTGTGACCGGCAGTTGTTTTCATAGTTTGCTTCGCTTTGGTTATGTCCGTCAGTAGCTGGTGGGGCTCTGTAGCACGTGCAGAAGGTAACCGTGAATACGAGGTGATACAGTTGAAAAGGTATATATACTAACCTGACAGATCACGCTTAATTGAGTCATAATTTTGTTTGCGTTCCGATCTCTTTTGCCTTGATTATTGTATGGAAATAGACTGTGACGTAAGCTCTAGGTTGCTAGTGAAATAACAGATGGCGCTGAAATGAGGGGCTACCTGGTTTATCTTTTGTAGTTTGTGTTTGTTATTCGTCACGTTTATTATGTTTGATGAATCATGCAATCATGCGCAGTGCAGATACTGTATGTAATATTTGGGGCCTCTTATGGCTTATGGGTCGTGTTAATGTTATAGTCTGATCTAGTACCAATTTTCTTCTTGTTGTTTATTATAATGTCTTGTACAATCGAAAGCTTTGTATCTGCACAATGTTCTCCCTATGTTAGTAAAAAGTTGAAGCAACGCTTACGTTGTGGGGATATTTATGTCCTTTTGGGGCGCGAATGCCTACATCTGGAGGTCCAGGTCTGTGCTGGCTTTGCGTGGTGCCATCTTGAAATTTGGAATGATGGCTTACGCAATCTTGGCATGTTACGAACCTTCCAGACTATTGTAGTAACACACTGTAAATGAATCTGAAAGTGAAAAGAAAAAACAAACGAAGTATCACCTGGAAGACAGATAAATTAAATATTGTGAAAAGTTTCATGTAGGTACTGAAGAAGGTGACCATTGTGACCGAAACGTATACATACCTACTACGTTAGTAATTAGAAGTTGGTTTCATTTGCCAGACAAACATGAGGATTATCGACATGAAAACCACAGGATATATGTTTCAGATGTTACAGTGATACATATTCATGTAATAATTTGGTCTCAACGAATTTCAACTTGACCCGTTCAAAAAATAAGGGAGAGGTATATTTTGAAAAGCAGTGTATTTCCAAGTTGACTGTTGTGAAGTTTGGATGTCAGTTTTAAATTGAGTCAGGAGCGGGCTATATGAAATGATTTCAGTCGATAACCGACATGAAGGTTGTTTTCGCCCGTCGCAGTCATTTGTAAGGTGACAGCATTTGTCAAAAGATAAATAAAATATCATATGTCTGCATGTATGTCAACAACCAAACAAAATAACAGAATGCATGCTAAAACAAAATCAATTGCATGTAAAGTCAGAAAGTGGAATAATATACAGGGTGGTCCATCCATGTGCGGACGGAATATTACTCATAAACAAATACATTTTGGGAAAATCTATTTATGGGATGTTACACATGACATTTGACGGCACTTTTCTAAAATATTGGCCATTATACAGGGTGTCCCAATTTCGACCTACATATCAAAGTTGTGATTTTTCAAATGGAATGCCTTAAACTTCATTGCATATTTGGATAAACCAATTCAAAAGAAGAAAATTTATATAACATACTATGAGGTTTTGGTAATTAGCAACTGAGATATAAGGTGTTTTGTCTAGAAAAACTCCCCATTTCGGCAACCCCTCAGTCCGCCAGTTTGAAATTTGGAGTGCTGAATTTTGTATAAAAAAAATAACTTACACACCTCGGCTTTTATCTTATTTGTTACTTTTTAAAATTTTAATTTTTGCTCATACAAGGTGGTCAAAAACGCAAACTGTAGTTTTTCTCAAAATTTTCAAATGCATCACCCTGTATATTTGTGCAAATTTGGATTCAATTTTTTATAAGCTCTTTTTTGATACTAGACACAAGGGTTTTTACGGCTATTTTTTCGGTTATTAGCACGTCTTTTATGGATCGGCTTAATTCCCTAAAATATCGCATCATCATTTTTTTATATTCCAACTACCACAAAACAAAGGCCTAAGGCCTAAACACCCATGGGGTACCGTGGGGCTATACTGGGATACATGGGAGGGGGTGGGGGAACGCCACACCGACTCTGGCGAGGGAACACGTGTGCATGCAACATGCACACATTCTGGCCCCGCCTACGAGATCCGCAGGGTGATACCTGCGTTCGAAAGTCAGAGACCGTCTACCACCTATGGACAATCACAACATCCATAGCCAAGAGGAAAATTTCTCTTGCGGCGGGATTCGAACCCGCACAGTGCACGGTGACTGATCATGAGACCGAAAGGTCTACTACTGCGGCCACCGCTGCTGCCCATTGGAAACAAATAAATTGTTGATTAGTTACAAACTGTCAAAATTAGCTTTGTGAGCATTATAATCAAAAGGTGTATGAAAATGAATTTTTCTAAAGAACAAATGGTGAATATGGTTTTCGTTTTGGGTGAAGCCCAAAGAAATAGTTTCCCAGCATCTCGCATTTATAAGCAACGGTACCCTAATATGCAACATCCAAGGCCAGAAATATTTTCCACACTACGAGAACGTTTTGAATGAAGTGGAGCAGTGGAATATAGTAAAAATGTATAAATAATCCAAGTGTCACCAATGAGGCGAATCAGTTGGAGGTTCTATTAAAGTTGCAGGAAAATCCCCACTCAAGTGCACGGCAAATTGGAGCAGAAACTCATATATGCAGCACTTCTGTCCAAAGGATTATTCACAAGCCTATTTTCCATCCATATCACCTATGCTTGCATCAAGGCCTTCGTCCTCAGGATTTCGTAGCTCGAATGGAGTTTAGTAGACTAATGCTAAATAAAGTGTGTGAAGACACTAGTTTCCTGGATAAGGTTCTTTTTAGCGATGAGGCAACTTTTAACAGCGTAGGTGCTGTCAACAGGCATAACATGCTCTATTATGCGACGGAAAACCCTTACTGGGTTAGGCAAAACGATTTCGAAAATAAATGGAGCTTGAATGTTTGGGGAGGAGTTATTGGCAGACGAGTTATCGGGTCTTTCTTTTTCGACAACAGATTAACAGGTACAGAATTGCCTTTGCTTTTGGAGGATGTCAACCTGCAAACTAGGATGCATATGTGCTTCCAACATGACGGCGCACCTGCGCATTATCATGATCGTGTGTGTAACTATTTGGACACCTGGAGTAACAATTGTTGGATCGGTCGTGATGGGCCTATATCTTGGCCTCATAGATCGCCAGATATGATACCGATGGACTTCTTTCTATGGGGCTACGTTAAACAAGAGGTTTATAGATATCCACCATCTACCCCGGAAAATATGAAGGAAAAGATTAAGGATATTTCTGAACATAAGGGATGTGCAACGGTCATTTATCGAAAGACTACGGCTCTGTATCCAACATGGTGGAGATATTTTCGAGCGGTTTTTTAGGTCTTGAGTAGTGATAGTTGTTAGTTTATGTTGTTGTTACAGTTGTTTTTTTGTATTACGGTTGAAGCTGATCATTCTGATTGTTATTAGTTTTTACGTCAAATCTGTACTCTTACTGACAATATGGAACTAGCCCACTGTTTGTCTTTTGTTTCCATGGATGATGTGATTTTTTTCCCTTAATTTTATCTGAATCAAACCTTATACCAAAAAAATCTTATAAAAAATTGAATCTAAACTTGCACAAATATACAGGGTGGTGCATTTGAAATTTTTGAGAAAAAGTACAATTCGCGTTTTTGATCACCTTGTATGAGCACAAGTGAGAATTCGAAAAAGTAACAAACAAAAGCTGAGGTGTTTTTTTGATACAAATTTCAGCACCCCAAATTTCAAAATGGCGGATTGAGGGGTTGCTGAAGTGGACGGTTTTTCTGGACAAAACACCTTACATCTCAGTAGCTAATTACCAAAACCCCATAATATGTTCTTCTTTTGAATTGGTTTATCCAAATATGCAATAAAATTTGAGGCATTCCGTTTAAAAAATCAACTTTGATATGTATGTCAAAATTGGGACACCCTGTATAATTGCCAATATCTTAGAAATGTGCCCTCAAATGTCATGTATAACATCCCATAAATAGTTTTTCCCAAAATGTATTTGTTTATGCGTAATATTCCGTCCACATATGGATGGGCCACCCTGTATGTATGTTATTTTAAAAAACGCAGTGGATGTTCACTATGGCAAAACCAACGAATTCGAAATGACTTGGAGCCAAGCCTTTATCTTTATATTGCATTGTGAATTGGTATTCAAGCTCAAATATGGGTAAGGAATTAATACATGAATATTAAATTTTATCATAAAAGTGGCAATTGAAAATTTCAAAATAGCAGCGGGCGTCACTTTGGAACATTTTTTTGAGCGGAATGTGGGGTCGTGTGATACCTTATTTTGAAGCTCCTTATGAGTACTTGGCAACTGTAGAATATAAAATTAGTGTTCACTCAAAATGTATAATTGACAGACTTTCGCATTTGAACGTTTTTGCACGAGGGATGTCTTTTAAGTTTTGCATATGGAAATAAAATAACACGGTAGGTAGTTTTAAATGACATTATTGTTTTTCGAAGTATTCTCCACGAAGATTAATACACATCTGCATGCGTTCGAACCAATTTTCGAAGCACTTATTCCACTCGTTTGCTGGCAGGCCCAAAACGGCATTTTTTAATGCGTCAACTACTTCTTCTGGTGACTGGAACCTTTGACCTCGCAGTCTGTTCTTAATTTTCGGGAAAGTAAAGAAATCGTTAGGACTTAGATCGGGACTATATCGAGGATGGTCCAATAAATTCCACGTTTTCTTCCGTTAAATACTGTCTTGTTTTTTGGGCTTTGTGCGAGCTTGCATTGTCTTGGTGGAGGATGATTCTTCTTTCGGGGTTGATTTTTCGAAGCTCGGTGATGACTTTTGGCAAACAAATGGTGGTATACCAATCCGCAGTAACAGTGCTTTGCTCATTAAGAGGAATGTTGCAATATGACCCACTTTTGACACAAATGTCCCGACCATCTTTTTAGAAACACTTCGAGAACGGATGACTTTTGTTGGCTTTTCTTCATCTTGGAACACCTAAACAGCCGACTGTCGTTTATTTTCTGGTTCATAACAGTAAATCCTCGATTCATCACCACTAACAATGCTGTATACATTTTTTGAGTTTCCGGAATTGAAACGGTCAAGTGTTTTTTGACACCGATTAACCCTGGCTGCTTTCTGCTCTTCAGTCAACAGGTGGGGTATCCAACGAGAAATTAATTTTCTTACTCTTAATTCTTCATGTAAAATTTTTTGAATTGAGGTCTTTGAGATCTTCAAGGATGCCTCAATCTCGCGATATGTCACATGTCTATCTTCGAAGATGAGTTTGCGCACATCATCGACGTCGTTTTCCTGGGTGACTGCCGTCTTTGGTGCACCCACCCTGGGATCGTCGCTAAGACTCACCCGTCCACGTTTGAATTCTCCATACCAACGGGAAATTGTCGACTGATGTGGCGCTTCGTTGCCGAAAACAGACAGTAACTCAGCAAGACATTCTTGTTGTGATAATTGTCTCTGAAAGTTGTAATAAATTATGGCGCGAGAATGTTCTCGGTTGAGTTCCATTTTTCTAATGACTTGGTGACACTTAAAAATTCACTGTAGTGAGAACACTGCACGTATTGTTGTGAAATTTTGAATTCAAGTTTACTAAAGAGTGAGGTTAAGATTCAGTACTGACGTTCGATCCGCGCGGCCTACTATGTTTGAGTTTCCTATTAACTCACCAACCAATCATTTAAACGATATACAGTATTTATCTCTGTCGGAAGGGTCTATCCAAATATATAATACATTTTTGAATAATTGCCAAGCTGTGTAAATTTCAAGCTGCCTGTCCCATATTTTGTTGTACATTCACATAATAGACCCTTCTAAAGGAAGAAGATTGATACAACATATATGTTTTGAAGTTGTAGATTTATAAGCACTGCAAAGTACAAACACGCTCAAGAGCCTGCCTCCGCCATTTTGAAAGAACGATTTCCAAAGTAAGGTATCACATTACCCCCATTGCTATTTAAAAGAAAATGTTACAAGGTGCCGTCCAGCTGCGATCTTGAAATTTGTAAAATTTAGGTTAGACTGTAGTATTCATGCGCTAACTTCATCACCCGAATTTCAGCTAATTAGAACCGTTCAAAAAATAACTATAGGGGGGACCTTTTTAAAAACTACTGTAT